TCAATTTTTTGAAAACTTTGGTTAGTGCTACTATATCTTACACCATTTTCCAATCACACTGGTTCATTTTTTAAGAAACTTAATACATAACATCGATCAATACTCTCCTTGTTTTTGTTCCATGACTTTTCAGTTTTTTCATTATTAAGCTTATATCTTTTAATCTTTTCTCCAACTATTGTATGCAAATTGCAAAAATACTTCTATATTCACATGATATCTTCAAGTCAACACATTTCCCCAAAGAATGATTTTTTATTGATTGAAAAAATTACTTTTTTTAAACTTTGCATTAATCATACTAGCATAAAATCTATCACAATAATATGAATTTTTCAATATGCATATAATGTAAATGATAACAAATGAGGCCTTAAACTGTATCTTTACTTACATGAAACTACAATAGCCTACACAAAAGACTACTGATTGCACTATCTTTGCATTTTTCTTTGAATTGTAAGTTGTTGTAAGAGATGAATTGACTTCACATTTGTCAATGAAAATTTTGGACATTCAATTCTCCTTGATCAGCAATTATTTTTTCAACACATCCGTAGCAAGTCACAACTTACTCTAACAAAGAAATACAAACTTGTTAAATTCCCTTCAATCATAGAGTTCTTCTCTCCATCTATTTTGATAGATCGGATCTGCTCTATTTCCATTGGCATAATAATCAAATCCACAATCTACTTGCAATGAATAGCTTTTGGGTATATGGCATATAAACCATCACAATGTCAGATTACCAAAGAAAATTGACATGTCTGCCAAATCTTCCCAAATTTATCACATCATTGTACTTTACCTGATATCTATCTTAATTATTATTTTCGTGATTTTCAAGAAGCTCATGAGAATGAGATAAATAATTCTCTATCTTGCCCATAAACTATCAAAATACTTCTTCATCAGCTCTTGTTTACAATGTATTGCATAAATCATCCGAAGTTGCATTTCATCACTCCATATATATCCATTCACCAACATGTAGTTATAGGCTATTCTACTCATAATATAAACTTCTTGATATGTGCAACCACTTTCTTTCGCAAACCTGTTGAGATATCCCCCAATATCTTATCTTTTTTATGTCACATATGAAGCAAAGCTCTCTGAAATAGAAGAATGGGGAGAAACAAAAGAAAACGATATTACTAGAGTTCAAATAATTCCTTACACCATAGGCCTCAAAAATTAGAAAGAAAGAATTCAAGTTAACTTAAACAGGTCATAGAGAGAAAATTGGAGATATATTTTACATCACAATCTCAAACTGTTGAACCTCTGATTAGGTAAATCTAAGATTTCTTTCAATTTTATCTTAGAAAAATCTTATTTTGATTTTTTTTCATTAAGTATATCTTTGTATGACATAGCAATTTCTAATCTGAACGGTCGATCTACAGAAGATGCATAACAAAGCTTTTCCAGATATATTTCTATCGTGGATCATAACATCAACAATGTTTAAGCATGTGAGAAGAATCGAAATTTACACATGATATTTTTATACCACATTATCAATAATATCATAACTCTTGAATTTTAAAATATTTTCCAATTGTATCACCGAATCAGTTTTAATCTCAAGATTTGATCTTATAGTCATCTACCATCTTCCTCACCAAGCTAAAGAAAGTGAATTATAATCAAATGAATGACTTGTTGGGATAGACAGACAGTTTCACTTGCACCTTTTTAATATCACAAATGCAATAAATCCAAATTCCAGTAACTTACCTTAAATTAATAAGTAGTGTTGCCATATACCGCAGTAACTGTACTCTAAGATATTCACATCACCGCCAAGTTTCGAAAAACTCGACATATTGCTAGGAAAGTTTTCAGTTATCTTAATTGCAGTTGCAAGGTGATCTCTATCAGCCTTGGACCAATTGGAGAGATGACTGGCGCGTCTTCTTCCCATTCTATGAAGTCACATGTGACGCTGGAGACCTAGACTTATGGGGAAGCGACGAATTCAGAGTTTTTTGCCAACACTCTTTAACACCATTCTTCTGCATGGAGACTTTTCTCGCCAGGTACATTCGAGGTCTAGACTCTTATAGCGTTGTCCTACTCGTACCTTTATGAGCTCGTCCCGGGGCATAAATCATGAAGCTACATGATTTAATGGCTTACTAGACATTTACCTCGTGCAGCCAAAAGGAATTTCGACGCAAGATTTTCTATTCATTTGACCTCTTCCGCTTTTCCATATAAGAATATCAAAAGTGATACTAGGCTATGGTCTCTTTGCTCGATTCCAAAACTAGTGTTGCAAAGGCCTGAGGTGGAATGGGGAAATCTATTCAGTAAATACAGTAAATCTTGGGAATGATGAGAGATACTATCGGTAGATGATTACGATCATCCATCATAAATGATTATAAAATCCCTGAGAAAAATTCCTCGTAAACTGAATGAATCAGTTAATGAAAAGTTTCTAAATTACAAATTTGTCAGTAATATATAGATCTCTTTGTATGTTGTTTCTTCACTATTCCTTTGGCTATGTTAAAGTTCTTCTTATACGAAACTCAAATTTTCACACACTTAAAAGCGTGTGAGTATTGACTGTCAGTATCAAATTAAAGTGCTAATCATCTCCATTAGCCTTTCCCCATTGACTGCTTTGCGCACTCCAGCAAGATGGAATGCATCATGATCCTTTTGTAAAAAAACCCATTGATATCCTTCATCGTGACTAGACTTCTTTGTACTTTCAGTTTCTTGTCAGTGGTGAGCAAGTACTGGATCTTAAAGATAACTCTTGGATAGTCAAGACCAATCAATAGACCCAACAACCAACAGCCTTCTTCAGCTCCATGCGCTCGATGACATCTACAAGTACTGGACCTGATGCGAAGAGAGCAAGGGGCCCTACAAGTTAATTGTACCGAATACAGCATGCTTCTCCAGCAGTGCAGCTACAAAACTGGATCTGCACCTGAATTCCGTACGGAATCTTCTTTTATGAATGTGGTCGGTGGACGCAGATATTTCTGCATGTATTTCGTTCATGACCTTAAAATTGAAATAAATAAATAAAGAGGCATTTCGTGAAAAGGCTTGAATCAGATTGGCCTCCACCATCAGAAAGTCCTTTGATGAACTGATCTACGTATGTTTCTGGTTGCTTTCCCAAACTTACAGAACTATCAAAATTCCTTTGCAGATCGTGGAAAAGAATTGTCCATCCATACCTTGGGTGTGTTGGTTTAGCTCTGGACGCTATCAAGTCATCGCCTTATAAGAGTGAAGGTTCTGCCTCCGAGATATCCCCGCAAAGCTACATCGTAAGCAGTGGAGAGTACCCCACCGATGCAATGCGCACATCCCTTTCTCTGCATACGTATGATGTGTTCATAGGTGTCCATTGGTCTAGCAAGTCTCCGCCCCTAGTGATGATCTTGACCTCACTTGACCGTGAGATAGATATCGTCACACAAGATTCCCACCTTTTCGACCTTGAGGCTGGCTAAATCCCTTACTTCGATTTGTTGTCGAACATAGGAGACGATCATGCGAACCACGGACGAGTTTACTCATCATCGCATTATGGATTGAGGTATGTTGTACTCTCTTGGCTCTAGTTCGAGACGTCTTGTCCTTCAACAAAGCCAATCACAGTTGTGCTTTAACAATCTGTAAAGGTAGAGATGGTTTGTTTTGTAGGGTACGGAGTCTAGGCCTGTTCACAAGAGTCCTAGAATCGAGAGTCTGAGAGAAAAGTTGTTTGGCCGAGCTCAGACGTCTTAATTATAATAATTAAATTCTACAATCTTCGTACGGTGTGCACTGCCTGTGAATGCTGTTACTTTTTAATTTGCATCTACCCGCTGCCTAAGCTGCTGTAAGAGGAGTTCGCTTACATCAGCAAAATGAAAAGATCCGCCTTGCCCTCAGGCCGGAAATTTTTTGGTCTATGTCCACCTTCTACTTCTGATTTGTGCTTTGTTCCCAGAGATAGTTGTGAACAAGTGATCTCAAATACTTGCAAATGTCGCACGGTAACCTATGCTCTGCTTCGTCTGTTGCTCAAACGAAATGTTGTTTTGAGCTATTAAATTATCACGAGTAAAGTCTGAAATTGCGAGTGACTACTTCGCATCTGGAACCTTGCGCTGTGATATTTGGTGAAGTCACTGTAGTGGAGACAGAATCCAACAGCTTTGAGATCGTACGTACAATTTCCCCGATGCATGTTATATTGTTCTCAAACAATTGCCAGCGTGCATAATCCTCCTACTCTAATTCCTAATTCATCCATCGCACGGAATCTTCTGAGTATAGTGGATGAATACGACATCTCATGATTATAGCGTGTGCTTGTCAGATATGCCTCTGCGTGTCAATGATATCTTGGCCCTAGACTTTCTGAACTGAACGGATTCGAATAGCAAACCTTAAATAGAGCTACAAGGGCTCTATCCAGAGGCTAGTAAGAGGCTGCATACAACCAGCTCATTTGGAATTGCTTTAGAATACCGACCATTTAAAGATGCATTGCCAAACAATCTGTGTCGAATCGAAAGTCACTTTTCCAGGCATGACTCGTGCTACTACCTCAGCGGTGAAATGACTAAGATCAGCTAGGAAACTCAAAATTAGACGATCTAAGCCCACATATCTGACTATACTATCGATCTCGTTAAGTATTATGATGGCATCAATACAGGCATTGTGATTGACTGAAAGACTTTCTGTCCGTCTACTCTGGGAGTGAGGGACTTTCAACACAATTTCTTTGAAGTGGCCAGAATCTAACAAATTGAAATTAAAACAGTAAAATTGAGGGATCTGACAAGTCCAAATAGACGTATGATTTGAAATCATCTAAGGTCTTGAACCTATTCCAGCATCACCCAGTCCTGAACGCAGGACCCATTGCATTGATGTAGCATGGACAAACGAGTGTGCTGACCACCATCAGCATGCAAGATAATGACAGTTTAGGGTATTCATATGCAAATGCACTCATGATCTACTTCAAATCCAACTCTCGTTTGGTTCGAGGTGGTTGAAATTTTTATTCACGATCGATTGCAACATTTAAACGAGTGACCAGCTCTTACAGTTGCCCACTCAAACCAACATCGTGAGTTCCACTTAAGAACAAAACCAATACAGGGCGACTACAAAATTGAGATTGGACAGTCTATAGCGGGAACTTCTAAGACAAGTCTATCAAAATTAACTGATCAGCCAAGATCTAAGAGTAGCTGAAGGCACTTGAATAAAAACGGACTTGCGAATCATTGAAGTTGCATCCACACCCTTGATATCAGCTGTCGAAATATACACTACTTGATTCTTACCTTAAATAATTTACAGTGCACACTGTTTACGGTGTGAGCTGACGAAGCTCAAAAAACACCCATCATATGCAGTCGTGGAAAAGGAAACATATCTCACAATCTAAATAGTCTAGAGCGATTCGGAATCGAGGGGCCTACCAAGAAGTTGCCCGAAGCCTCCATCAGAAGCAGTTGAGGTCTGGATGTTATGTCGTCTAAGGTGTCAAAGAGGTTTTTCGGTTGCACACAAATCTCCTTGCCCCACAACCGCGAGCTGCACGCCTCCACGCTGAAAGTCGATCTCATATTTTCAAGGAAAAATTCCAGAACTGCTCGCTGATTTCTTGTGTACTTTAAGTTCGTCCCGTCCCAAACTCTGGTACCCTCGTGGTTCTCCACCCAAAGCGTACAATCCACAAAATCAATGCTCTCATCACACAACGGCCACACTGGTTCATCTTCTCTCATACTAGGTTTAGTCTCCACGTCGAGCTCCTTCTCGATCTTGATCTCAACCACTTGCTCCTCCTGCTTGCTGCTGGCTTTAGCGTCGCCCGTCAAGTGCAAATAGAGATGAGCGGTTTGACCGTCGTATGTTCCTGTGCTATGAGAGGGTGGACCCTCGTAAGTTCCAGTGCCATCGTGCAGGACGACGGTCGTCTTCAACGACGCGCAGCTGAGTACTTCTTCAAAACTTGAGCCCGGGCTCTTCAGGCGACTGTAGTGAATGATCGACCCGTCGTCCAGCGTGAGCTTCACAGTGTCAGTCTTGAGCCCATTTCTTAAAGGAGTGCATTTGAAACACGGAAAGGGGTAACAGACGGGATCCTCCTTGGGGAAAGCTATAATGTAGATCTCCTTCCGTCGAAACACTTTGTTGAACTTGTCGAGAGTTGGCTTCATCCCAGGGCGGAACCCTGTCAGGATATCGAATATCAGCTTCCTTATTCTACAGCTGCGAATGCGGGACACCAAAATCTGCAGCCGGGTCTTGGCCATGTATCGCATGAGATTGAGAATCATGATGGTAAGGGGTAGCAGTAAATCTATGAATATCAGGAACATAAAGAAGAGACTGGCACTCTCCTTACTAAATTGGCTGTTGAGGAAGATGGGGATGATGGGAAGGGCACTGTAGAGCCTGGAATCAGACTTCAGAATCGACCATCGCGATCTGAAAATGATTTCGTGAGGTTTGTGGTAGCCGGTCACCCACCAGTCCGTTGACTCAAGTTGATAGCGACCCTTCATCTCTACTATCCTGCGCAGAAACTCAACCTGACTAATTTCGTCCACGATGTAGACGCCACTGATAATCTCATTGGTCAGCTCGTAAAACCCTTCCACGAGGCCGCAATAGTCATCCCCCCGGTAATACCATGACTTCTTATCTTTGGTCCCGTAGAGACAAGCTTGCTTCACCTTCTCATTGCATCTGCTGTCGCAGATAAAACTCATGCCGTAAATTCCCATCAAGTAAGTGTCTCTCTCCACCTCGACGCAGTCGTTTCCCTCCTTGAGCTCCGGATGCTCTACTGCTTTCTGCCGGATAGTGTAATCTTTCAGCTCCCTCTTGCCTATGATAGCTAAATGTCTGCCCGTGCTGGTGCATACGATGGGACTCTCCCATTTGCGATACAAGATCAACTTCACGACTGATACCATAAAACACCAGGGAATTCGCAAGATCGCTACATGCCTGATGTTTGCCCATAGTACCCAAGCAAACTGAAGCCAGATGAACTTGGGCGATTTCAGAAACTGTCTGAACTCGGACCCGTCGTGAAACATCTTCACAATACCGTGCAAACGGGTTCGTAGTGTGTCACTACTCAGCAGGCGGCGCTGTTGGCATCGACTGACGAACAAGCAGAGCAGCTGAATTTATGGCTGATCATTCCAACACCAAGCTTTCCACTTTACTTTCCTGCATGTCGCTCTCGTACCATAATTGGACCGTATTTATTCCGCAGCCGAAGACCAGTCAGGGATCAGGTAATGCGTTTCTTGACCAATTCAATGAGCGATGATGCTCACGAAGGTCAATAAAGATTCCACCACCTCCGAAATGTCCGGATGAACTTACGAACCGGCACTATCGGCTCAGAACTCAGTGCAAAGGAGTCCTCGCGGTTTGCACTCAGATCTATGGAACGCTGGTGACGAGAAATAGCTGCGAGCTGCGAAGGGCGAAGTGCCCCGTGCAGAACATGGGCGGATTCGCCAACGTGGCTATATGTCCTTGCGAGCTACAGCCGGGGCTGTACTGGAGCCGAGTAGCGCTGAGACGAGACTCCGATTGCGACTGTAACGGTAGAGCACCCCGCTGCGATTCTGCGACATGCTTAGCGACATTCAGTACGCGAATTGGCCGTTTTGGGAGGCTGGCACCATTCGTACTGCCAGTGTAGGAGGAGGCTACTGGCTACCGAAAGACCGTCATGATGGTGCGGATGGTACCTCCACCGGAAGCAGCCAAGTGATGCAGCCACATGATTTACTGTATGCTACAGCAAATCCTGAGATCCAACAATCAACTCTTTTCTTCCTCCGCCTCCAGCGTGTTCGAATTTACAACCAGACACATGTGGAAATACCGTACGGTGGCGCTATGAAAGGTGTGAGCAGTCTGGCTTTATGAGTCACCTGATTTTATTCCGACATGCCTCCCTCCTGCAGTCCAGGACCTTCGTCTCCCACCGACCCAGGACTCGATGGTTTCTGATGGGTTTCTCAGCATTTATGACATACATGTCATAAATGTCCTGGTGACTAAGATGAACGAGGAAAGGAGAGAAGCATAGGTTTAATTTAGCCATGAATGTGGCCCGGAAATCAACACAATCCCATATCTAAATTTTCTCGTTAGTTTGATACCACAGTTATGGTGAGAATGATTCAAAACTATGAAATTAGTTCCACAGCATTCACAACATCTCCAGAGTTTAGTGTACTTCAGAAGTGAAGTGCTGCTTTTAAAATCAAGACAGAATTTACATCAATCGAACCGGCGAGAGTCCAAAAGTGAGAGCTACAGAGAACAGTAGATTACGGTGCAAGAAGGTATTTTGCATCATGTCTCCTTTCAAAAAAGGCTTCCTTTGGGTAATCTCTTCATTGATCTTTTCACTTCGATGAATCGAGCAGTGCCGTAAGGATGGCACCTCACAAAGTATATCGTCTTTCCTTGATTTTCCCGATTTGCTGCTATAATCAGGGTGTGACACTTTAGTCATCTTGCAAACAGATAGTTGACAACACACCTTAATTGTTAGAGTTTTTTCCATCTTCCATTTATTTTCTTTGATCAGATTTAAGCTTCCAAGCGTTAGTTTGGTTGTAGTATATTCGATATAGCTGAATAATTTAGAGATAATTATTCAATTTTTTTCTTACTGCGTATCGTTATTTTACTTCTGACCAGAGCTTTTGGCTTCATATTAAGAATATCATATTTTATCAAAATATAGAATGATAGGGTACAATAAGGATAAAAATTGGGTAGAAAAAAATCCACTTATTAACTTCACATTTCATCAAATGATAAATCTTTGTTTAATAATTGTTTTTATTTTAAATTATAGGCACACACAAAATTGAAGTACTTTTAAATGATTATCACTCTTCAATGTCAATAGAGGTGACTCAATTCACTCAATTCTAAAACTAGTTCTTGTCATCACACACAAGGACTTTGCGAGATTCACCAGGTCTGAACATCCATATATCGTTGAATATCCACTTACATATCTAAATAAATCCTAACCCTCAACGCTTCACCGGAGCCTCCTACCATTGAGTGATTCGGTATCCGGAACATGCCCCGCTGGCTGCTAGGTACGCGACACCCGCAAGGAGTCCACCACTTTGTGCCATTCATCAGGTCTTAACATCCATATGTCGTTGAATATTCACGTACATATTAAAAAAAAACTATCTTCCGACTAAACGAAACATGCCCCGCTGGCTGCTCGGTACGCGAGACCCGCAAGGAGTCCACTACTTTGTTCCATTCACCAGGTCTTAACATCCTTATATTGTTGAATACTCACGTATTCAACGAAATATTCCGACTTACAGAGCACAGCACCGCCAACCAGAAGCGAACATTTTATTTCAAATCTTTACTCATACCATAACCATCAGCAGCTACCTATGTCCATCTTTAGCATTATCTGTGTTCACGTAGGTTATTCAAATGACGCCAATTGTATTATGTATAATACCGGGTTACATCAATTCTTCGTTGATCTAACAAACACTGCCCATAACATTATTTGTGCCCACCTATGGACAAATAATTTCACCAAAAACTTCCAAAACCCATGGGCATGGACACCCAATGTTGGACTCTGCTTCCTACAACGTCAGCAGTTCTGTCCCATACTTCCCGATTCCGGCCTGTGGAAATAGCAAGTGCGGACGACCGGATATTCCAACTAACAGCCAGAGCAGCAAAGTACTGACTGTTACGGCGGAAGTATTGTCCGATAAACTATGCAAGATTTACAGGCAACATGGCCCAAGTACATATGGAATGCATGTAGTCTTCAGAATCTGTTTTCTGATTCTATCACTCAAATAATAAGTAAAACTATACAAATTTCATTTACAAATATGTATGATGAAAATGAGAATAAACTTTTCTCTTCTAGCTGTTGATTAGAGTAGCGCCTCTAACCCAAATGCAAATTATTCATTAAACAACTGCCACAAATTTCAACGCGTTGATGATAATTGTATAATGTTGATTAACTGCATTGATTCTTTTCTACGCTATATTCAATCCGTCTTAGTAGTCATACATACTAAATAAATACCACATTCATTTCTTTAATCAATCTCGTCACTTGAACCTATTGGCCATGATCCAGGTCAAAGCAAAATTCCTCCGGCAAAATCAAATTAACAATTTATTTTGGCCCCAAGTATCAAATAGGGGGAAATTAGTAAGAGATTGAGCCTCACGGATCCAATGACCTTCCTATGACTTTGAAAAATCAATGTTTGTGGAACCTGCGACGATTAAAATGATGTTGTCATTGAGCTCAATGGTTCACTGGTTTGATGGAAATTTGACAACAATGTCCGCAATATCATGGACAAACATAAGTACAATATACCATTCGTGATAGATAGCATCATGAATTACCTTGAAGTTTGGCCTTCATGTAATATAATCGTCCGATAGAGAGATCAATTACTCGATGTTCAATCTTGAGCATTATTCTCATTACCATCATCTTTAAGATCAATGGCAACCACTAGCTCCGACAATGCAAGCCTAATAGCAAGCCATTCGTTGCTGAAGAGGCGTAAGCACTATGAAGTCAATGGACCTCAACAATGTGTGCCAATTTGCAACACCAAGAGGACTAATTCACAAGAGAATGGAAAGCAGCAAGCAATAAGTTACTAGGTGAATCGACTTTGGAAGAGATTAGGTCCCAGTGGAAAAGCATGAAAACGCTTAATGGAGAAATTGAGTGGAAGCAAGAGGAGGAGATTGTGTTGGGCTTGATGCAACAGTAATTATCGGTTATACTTTTTTATTGGTGATAGTCGTTTCACAAGACTGAGAAAGTTTTTGAAGGAAATTTATGATACTTTGCATACCCGCTGAAAGCCGCAAATTCCTAAACACACTTTCAACGCTGACAATTTGCAAACCTTCATTAAAGACTGTCAAACGGGGGAACTATACGATGAAATTCTCTTTGCATACCTTTGGTCCGGCCGATATCAAGTCAAGCAGATTGTCATTTTGACTAAACTCTGGACACATTATTCGGAGAAGATGAACAACATGAATCAAAGGATGATCAATTTCAGTTGCTAGATCCAATATTGCGATCTTTATGCTCCTGCAATGCACTTGACGAGATCCGCTGAGAACGTCTACAATGCATGTATTTGAATTGAAATTCAGTTGAATAGAAACAATCTCACCGATGTTGAGTGCAAACATTTACTTCTAGAGAAGAAGATGCATCAATTTGCTGCTATTGATCAACAGATTTTAATGTCAAAATTCATGAATACTTATGTTGGCAAACATGCGCCATCGCATTCAGTGCCTGAGACGATTTTTAGCGATTCATATGAAAATCTGCTTGATGATATGCCGATTGAACAGAAGACTCCGCTTGAGATCCAAGTGCAGATTGCAGATTTTGATGTCAGCTTTGCCCTTCCTTTTTATGGACAATCTTGTTCATCAATGGATTACTTACATTTTAATATGATGATGCAAAATTTCATTATAGCCAACGTCATCAATTATGTGAACAACGCTATGTGAACAACAAAAAGGTGTTGAAGCTTTATGCAATCTTTGTCTACTCTATCATCTATGACTCGGACAACAACAGATGTTGTTTTTAAAACTGGATAACTGTGTCAAACAAAAAAAATCCAAGATGTTACTTATATTTTACACGATAAAAGTCAAGAGATCTCAACTTTTTTAAGCAATCGATGATCAAGTATAGAGCTTTAGCCTCTAGAGATAAATATTCATATTTTTGTATTGTTGTCTTTGCTTTTCTATGACAATGTCGTTTTGTTGTATTTTGTTTCCGATCATTTGCACAATCTGACTGATCGCGTCATTGCACAATGCCGTAACAAGATGCACATCATGAATTTGTATTCTCCTGCTGCGATTGTAACTAAGCTGAATGAAATCAAATTGATGTCTTGCAAGTGTCTATATCATCGATTTCCCAAAGAACAGTTCTCTACAAATTGGACTCTAGAGCTATAAAAGTACTTCAAATGCATGCCGGCGAACTACATTGGCAATTATTTCTTTGAAATCAATTAGGTGTTGTGTCCATGCGACATCTTGTGACCACGTCAGATAGCAACTTGAAGGTGTTTGCAACACTTCTTCTATCGAATATTGATTCAATTCAGAAGTTTGTTTTGTCTGATCTATTTGGCACCAACGTGTAGACTATTGATGACGTCACTTCAATTGACAATGTAAAGCTTCCTTCGCATTTATGTGAAAACATTGCCCAACATGAAACTGAGTACATCAAATCTCAAGTAATTTTTTATACCTTTGGAGGAGCTTCCGTACTATCCAGACAATCCTATTGGTATCATCGATACAATTGATCAAGAAGGAACAGATACGCGATTCAAATCTGCTTTGAATAATAAGAAAGACAAAAGTTGACATTGAGATCGTCAAATCTAAAAAATCAGATCCTGGACGTCATATTAAGTGAGTTGCAGTTTCTCCTGGTCACACATCAATCCTGATTTTTTTTA